TTCTTCTTCTTCTTCTTGCCAGTATCAGATTTTCCAAGCCCTCTATCCTCATTATATGCTATAGAAATTTCAACTGTCTCTTTACTGATGTGAAGTACGTGTCCTTTTTGTTTCTATTTTCTCGATAACTTCGTTGTTGTTCAAATGTCCGGCCAATTTCATTCTCAGCATCCTTCTGTAAAACCACATTTCTGTTGCTTCATGTATCTTCATCTGTGAAGAGATTTACTTGAATTCACTACCATATAGTAGGACGGATATTACGTAACAGTTCAATAGAGTTTCTTTTCTTTCTGAAAGTTGAAGGCTCGCGCGTGAGAACTGAAAATAGAAGCAAGCATTGCATGTTAAGGAAATCGAACAGAGAATAGGCTATACAGGTAGTACTTTTGTCCAACAATACAAGAAGCTACAAAACCAAAACATTAACCTAAGGACTTAATTCATGTTCTAAAACATTCTTGTCAGGTCTAGACTCTCATGTGGATGTTATGAATGACGTCCATCTTGCTCAGAAATTCTAAGCTATCAGCTATAGACAAGCGTTTTCTAAAATAAATGATTAAAAATAAATTCAAGAAAAGGAAACTGTTGGATCTTGAATAAGACTGCTCTTCTTTAGATCTCGTAGACTGGTGCTACAGAATCATAAAAAAAATTACTAAACAATAGAAACAGTTTCACTTAATGTTTTACAACATCAGCAGCAGCAAGTAAATCGGATAACACCTCTAACGCAAAAAGAAGATAATTACATTTTCTTATCGTAACTTTCACCCTGTACAAAGCCCGGTGGTCACTCGAGGTAGAGGGTTACGTTAGGGAGTAGTTTATATGGATAAAATAGGCTTGAACAGGTTAAGATTGTAGTGATCGGGGAAGCATCCTCTTGGGAGTCTGTTACACATGTCAGTGGTTTGCAGGAAGAAGCTGTTTGAGTGGAAATTACTTCTCGACGATGGTATACGGTGTTTTGTTACTATGTAAATGGTATGGCGCTTCCTAGCCGTAAAAATCAAACATGGTAGAAACAGGAGATGCAGCGTAATTAAGACGTTGTCGGAATCCGACTACCCAGGTATGTGTTGATACCTGAGTGCCAGGATTCTAAACAAACCACATTTCTTTTCAACGAAACATAAAAAGGTTATTCTCTGAAGGAAAAGTAAAAGCAGAACATCACTTTAATTAACATTTATATATTTTTCTCAGAAATATACAATAGCAACAAATAACAAAAAGAAATTGTTCTTTTTTCTTTGCATTGAAGAAAATAAGTGTTCGTGGAGCGATTGTGAGAAATGTGGACAGACTTACTTTACGACAGTCAGACAGTTGGTGGCTGATGGCTTATGGAAGTAAGTTGTTAGAGGATAAAAGGAGTGGGCGCTATATTAGCTGTGTCTTCTGCTGCGTTTTCTCTTCTGTTTTGTGCCTGTGTGTGTGCGTTCGTTTGTATCAGACTGACCTTCGAAATTGTTTTGAACCCTGAGAACCAGTATGCTTCTATTTTTATATCCGTAAAAGGGATCCAACATCTAATTTCACATAGAGGTGCGATCTTTTTTAATACAAGGTTTTCATTAGTTAGAAAATAATTTCGTGCTGGCTCGAGGAATTTTTTTTTTCGAATTTGCAGGAGTGGTGAAGAGAGTTATTATCGTTGTTTTCTAAATGGGCCCCAAAATAACACATGGTAGGTCTACTACTATGCTCGCCGAGCATTTTGGCGGTATTTGCCCTAGTCTATGTTCCTGAAAAAAGACTGTTTTAAGAGAAGGATTTTATAAATTTCCACTGAGACAAACGCTAACTGTTAATGACTGGCGAATGTTTGCTGTATGGAAACGGATGATTTCATTATTACCATTTCAGTTCATCACCAAGCACTGTAAGCGTTTGGTCAGCATGCAGTGTTCTATAGTCCTAAAATTTGTGAATTATTGATGAGAAATCGTTTTACAAACATTTTCTGTTCGAAGTACATCATCAGATAATATCTTTTTTTATTATTGTCACGACAAGGCCTTGCAAGAAAGTATATGAAAAGATTAAAAGTGTTAAAAAATGTCTAAAGGCATTTAAGATATATACTAGTATGGCTCAAGGCTACAACAGTTGAGCACTTAGTAAACATCAAACTCATTAACACTAAACATTTTTTAACCTAAACTCGTTGGCGAGAAGTATTAACGACACAATAAAGAAATGTGTTCATATTGTTAACGAAGCCAGCCATTTTTTATTTTTCTAAGGCTTCGATCTATGTGCGGGCCGATAATTTTTCGTTTATGTCTTTAAATTTATAATGATAGTAATTGAAACAAATACTGGTATTCATTTAGAAAGCTACAGTTAATTACGAGTCAACACTGTAATACTGTTTCAAACTATCAGATATTTACACTGGCCGGAACAGGTTCACTCGGCTGCAAGCGCGTCATGTTTATTAAGATCGTTCGGTCAACAATCATAAAAAGACGCCATATTGCAGCTGTCTCGATCAAAACGGAATGAACAGGGTATCGGTAACTGATAACACTTTACTTTTTCTTTTTTAATTCGTAAGTCAATACAAAAGCCCATTGGAACACATTGGACACTTCAATTCAAACTAAACTTTATATTGATTTATGTCTCTTTGCTTTTAGGCTGAAAACTACAAACAGAAACAAACAAAAAATATATTTCCGTTTCTGCTATTAATTATGGGAAATAAAATCCAGTCCGTTTGTCGAAGCAGTCGTCAGCACGACCGTCCACTGATCAACACGGCGACTCGCATTAAGTAACAAGCTATCACCATGGAAACGAGACATGAACCAACAGATGCTTAATCGTCGGGATTATCTTCATCTTTCGAATCTTCTTGTGGCATTAAGAGCGTCTCTTTTATCATCTCAAATGCAATCTAACTCCCTTGGTCTTCTCCCCACGGGCTGGTCCGGTGAAAATCAACTTTCAGACCTTGCCTCATTGATCTGACACCGCCAATCATTCGTTTTCCAAAGAGACGAACGAGAAAGTTGTTTGTTACAAGAAATATGATCAAAAATCAATTCGTGATACAATCGGGCATTTGAAATAGGATCGTACCTGAGTGACTCTATCGGTAATTTCTCTGTTTCTTCTCTTATACGTTTTTGTTTGCTATTTATTCTTGGTTTATATGTTGTTGTTGCTGTTTTTTTTTGGGGGGAGGACGTCAATGTGTGTGTGTGTTTAGTTAATTACGATTATTTAACTATTAGGAAGCGATATAGAGGGTGACCCAAAAAAACGGGAACTTTTAACAATCCAATAAAACCAAGAGTGATATAAGAAAAATATTTTATTCATAGTAATTGAAACCTTAAAACATGCCTTTTAAGAAACAATGATGGAATTTTCATTTTTTTAAAATTAAGTCTTGTAGTTGGCGTCCTCCTGTACAAATGCATTCTTGAAATCTGCTGTTGAGAATCCTCATTGACTGCTGCAACATCTCAGCTAGGATACTGTGAATTTCATCTTGAATTCTAAATGGCGAAATGTTTACTTGCTCAAGGTCACTGTGTTGCAGTGTTGCCACTCGCTCATGTCTGGCAATACACACTTCAAAAATTCCCGTTTTTTGGGGTCACCCTGTATATATCAATTTTTATGTATCAAGAATAGTTTTACGAAAATCAATGACAAAGTGGAAAAAGATTTACAGAGACGCGTTTCGTCCTTTAGGACTTCATCAAACGAAAGCCTTGTTTAATTTGATGTGATTACACATACGCTTGAAGGAGAGATGCTGAAGTTTTAAATTTAGATTTATTTTTTTAATAGATTTTAAGTATGTAGTCTAGCCGATTTCATTTAATTTCTTTTTCTTTTTGTCTATATTTTTTCCCTTCTTGTTATTAAATATGCCGCATCATGATAATAGAAAACCTGTCAAAGAAAATGAAGCATCGTAACAAGCAAGCCATAATTTTACTGTGGATTATCTAGCACAATGGTTCGTTATTTTTTTGAGTCATGAACCCCTTTAGTCTCGGGTCCCTATAAGAACTGGCCCATCGTAGACTAAAAGCACATCACTTTTCTACACAGACATCGTTTTTCTACCAGCCACGCTTGAAAGAAATTGTGGTTAACTAATCCTCACCAGTATATGAGAAGATAGACAATCCGTTGAAAATGCGAATTATCGCTTGCTCTTATAGAAAAAAAAATGGCGGTCGAGAAGAGAATGACGACATACGTTTAAACTGTAAACATGGACCCAACAGCAAGTCAAGAGACACCTAACGGTCGGCAGTGTAATTAGAGGCTGGGTGCGTTTTCATTCAAGCATTGGGAGGATGCATTTTCTTTTATTTCTTTCAATGGGAAACATTTAATTACACCAATGACTGTATAGCGAATATAAATGTTAATTTTTAACTGATCTTCACGGGGCCCCTGAAACCAGGATGTTCATTGACCCCAGGATAAGAAGCCCTAATCTAGCACATTAAATCACTAGATCATCCACATTAAATTTACGCCCAGGTTCTTACAGCATTGTAATAGATTTATTTTCTAAAAATGAGACAACTATTAACAAAAATGTGAAGGCCAATGTTTTACTGGGGATTATTTTGCATCAACCAAGATAACATATTATTTGATATTTTCCCCTGCAAATTCAATGCATCTTAACAATCTGAACATTACCTTTTCCTTTCCAAGCCTTATTCGAAAGACAAAGCTAAGTTCTCTTACGTTCTCACAATTTTTTTCCCAATGTATTCTATAGTTATCTTGAAGTGTACAATTCGTAAGTAAAGACAATGAGGTGCCTTATTTTTACGCCATCTAGCCGGAGAATGAAGCACGTTACCGTTTCTGGGACGCGATGCAAAGCGTCCAGAACACAGTTCCAGAGAATGAGAAACTTGAAGGAAGCTGCACACATTAACGTACGAAGCTGCAAGTGAATATTGTTGAGAGGAGAGTAAATAACAACGTAATTGAAGGAGAGGAAATTAGAAAGAAGGAGAGGAAGGTGTATGGTAATGATGTGTAGTGGGAAGATAAGGAAGAAGTACAAAAATACGGATAATCATGCAGGATAGAAAGAAGAAGAAAAATATGTTGGCGAAGGAGGATAAAAATGGAAGGGAAAGATTGAAACAAAGAAGATGAAAAATCAAGAAAAAGGACAAGACGAAGAAAAAGAAAATTACGGATAATCTTGTAGGATAGAAAGAAGAAAAATACGGATAATCTTGCAGGGTAGTAGGAAGAAGAAGAAGAAGAAGAAGACTACTACTACTACTACTACAACAATAATCAAGAAGGAGAAGAAGAAAATTACGGATAATCTTGCAGGAAGAAGAAAAAGATGATGACGAAGGCGAATAAAAAATGATGGAAAAAATTGAGACAATGAAGATGAAATTATGAAGAAGAAAAATGCGGATAAACTTGTAGGATAAAAAAGAAGAAAATATAAAGAAGGAAAAGATTGAGACTAAGAAAATGAAAAAATCAAGAAAAGGAGGAAACGAAGATGAAGAAGAAAAAAAATACGGATAATCTGACAGGATGAAGGAAAAGAAGATGACTAAGAAGAATCAAAAAAAGATGGAAATGATTGAGACAAAAAGGATGAAAAAATCAAGAAAAAGGAGAACATGAAGAAGATGAAGAAATTACAAAGAAGAAAAATACGGATAAACTTGCAGGATAAGAAAAAAGAAGAAGAGATGATGAAGAAGAAGAAAAAGATGATGACGAAGAACAAAAAAAGAAGGAAAAGATTGAGAAAAAGAATATGAAAAAATCAAGAAAAAGGAGGAAATGAAGATGAAGAAATTACGAAGAAAAAATACGGATAATCTTACAGAAAGAAGAAAAAGATGATGACGAAGAAGAATAAAAAAAGATGTAAATGATTGAGATAAATAGGATGAAAAAATCAAGAAAAAGGAGAACATGAAGAAGATGAAGAAATTACAAAGAAGAAAAATACGGATAAACTTGCAGGATAAGAAAAAGAAGAAGATGATGATGAAGAAGAAAAAGATGATGACGAAGAACAAAAAAAGAAGGAAAAGATTGAGAAAAAGAATATGAAAAAATCAAGAAAAAGGAGGAAATGAAGATGAAGAAATTACGAAGAAAAAATACGGATAATCTTACAGAAAGAAGAAAAAGATGATGACGAAGAAGAATAAAAAAAGATGGAAATGATTGAGACAAAGAGGATGAAAAAATCAAGAAAAGGGAGATGAAGAAGAAGTTACGAAGAAGAAAAATACGTATAAACTTGTAGGATAGAAAGAAGAAGAAAAAACAAAGAAGAAAAAAAAGAAGATGGCGAAGAAGAATAAAACAGAAGGAAAAGACTGAGACTAAGAAAATGAAAAAATCAAGAAAAAGGAGGAAACGAAGATGAAGAAATTACGAAGAGGAAAAATACAGGATAGAAAGAAGAAGAAGAAAAAGAAGATGACGAAGAAGAATAAAAAAGAAGGAAAAGATTTAGACAAAAAAGAAGAAAAAAATACGGATAATCTTACAGGATAGAAAGAAGAATAAAAGATGATAATAAAGAAAAAATAAAAAAAAAGAATGAATAGATTGCGACAAAGAAGATGAAAAATCAAAAAAGAAGACGAAGAAGGAAAAAAACAACAAAGAAAAAGAAGAAAATTACGGATAATCGTGTATAGTAGAAACATTGTATACTCCCCTTCGTGCTGGGGGAGGGGTAGTTTTGGCGCGACGGTCTTGATTCATTCATATGTTACATTCTTCTCTCTGTCATCTTCTATCGGTGTCGAAATGTTTTGGGGTTCAAAGAAAAGACACATCAGCAAAAGGGATTTTGACTTCTATTTTTTCTTTCTATGTGCCGTGTCCTTTCAGGACGTAGACGATGCTGGTTCTTCAAATCCCTCTGTCCCTTGCAGCTCTCAACAAGTTCCTTCCCTCTGCATCATCCCCTAGACCACTTTCTGTCATCCACTTGCTTAAAGCCACTAGGTATGTCATGCTCTGTTTTCTCTTGTCTCTCTTTCCCTCTATTCGACCCGTGAGTCTCAGATTCTCCAGGCCTTCCTTCCTGATTATGCGTATCAGGAACTTCAACTACCACTTCCGTAGTATAAGCCTCCTACGTTATTAAACACGTCGACGTGTACATTTTTAACTAGCTAGTTGGTCACTGTCCCACCCCACTGGGCAGCAAGCCTCAAGATTTTAACACGTCCACATTATTCGATATGAAAATCTTAACTACTCGAAATCACTTTTTGTCTCTCTACAATTCTCACGTTCGGCTCAGCCAGTCAAAATCCATATCCCTATTTTGTCTACCATCTGACCTTAAGCTCAGCCTCAGAATCTGTGAGCCAAATACACTGCCACTAAAAATAATAGTCTGAAACTATTATTTAACAGAAAGAACAACAAAAAGATGATGAAAAAGAAGAAAACTAAAAATTAAAATGATCCCTTTTCCTTAAGCATTTCACTCGCCGTTTTTCTCTGCCCGTCTTACTTTCAGTTTGTCTTCATCTGAGTGTTATATTCAACAAGCCCTCTTTCCTTTCTATGCGTCTCAGAAATTTCAGTCGCCTCCTTTCGATTGTAAGTATACGTTACTTTGTCGCTCCTATTTTCCTTAAATCCTCTTTGGTTGCTGACATGTTCAATCCATGGTATTTCAGCATGCGTTTGCAGAACCACGTCTATGTCACATTAAGTTTCTTCTTAAGGCTCACGGCCATATCACCTTGAAACACTGGTTCCCGTACGATTAACGAATTTAAGCAACGTCGAGACTGGTTAGCACGTCAATGGGTGACTACATAGGAATAACAGGTTCTGTAAGCTTTGTTGTGCACGATTGGAACGAGACTAACAGAAAAGTACACCAGTGAAACGAGACTAACAGAAAAGTACACCAGTGAAAAACGAGACTAACAGAAATGTGCACGAGTGGAACGAGACTAACAGAAATGTGCACGAGTGGAACGAGACTAACAGAAATGTGCACCAGGGAAACGAGACTAACAGAAATGCGCACGAGTGGAACGAGACTAACAGAAATGTGCACGAGTGGAACGAGACTAACAGAAATGTACACCAGGGAAATGAGACTAACAGAAACACTTGAACAAGATTCACAAAATGGCACAACTAATTTTGAAATTCACTTTATTATACTAATTAACATCAATTCCATTCTCTCAAAATTGACAACCATTGAGAAATAACCTTAAAGCCCCCGCCCGGCTCCTGTAGGTTCGCCAATGTAGCTTGGCATTGGGTAAACAATCATTGTATACTTTTTTTCAAAACCGTTGATAGAAATCCCTGTGACATATAGTATATGTGCAGACTTATTTTTTATTAAAAGAAAGAAAAATGTCGAAATTGCATTTACCATTCCGTTCGTGATACTTTATTTATGAGAAGGCACATAATCCAGTCAATCGACACACATTCAATTTTCACTACCAATTCGATCGAGATAAAATCGCAAATATTCACGCTGCTATCGCCTAGTCATAGTCACACTTAGACGCGCATCCTTATATTCAAATAGACACGTCTGTACAGACACGTCTCAGAAAAGCAGCGATCGCTTTGCCACAAAATGTCATTTTCCGCATGTTTATTTTGACGGTTCACTGGTCGACTCCTCCTTACGGAATCAGACACCAAACGGATCGATAAACCTCACGACTCGCTTTTTTTTTCTTTTGACGATAGTTAGATATATAAGAAAAGAATTAGACAAAGATAGATAGATAGATAGATAGATAGAATTATAGATAGATAGATAGATAGATAGAATTATACAGAGATAGATAGATAGAATTATACAGCGATAGATAGATAGATAGAATTATATAGATAGATAGAATTATACAGAGAGATAGATAGATATATACAGAGATAGATAGATAAAATTATACAGAAACAGATAAAATTATACAGAAATAGACTGATGAAAAGACTGCGATAGATATGAAAATATTGCTATAGAATAGATAGATAGATATGAAAAATTAGATGGATAGATAGATAAAATTATACAGAAATAGACAGATAAAATTATACATAAAGAGATAGATAGGTAAATAGAATTAGACAGAAATAGATGAATAGATAGATGGATAGGAATAGATAGATAGAATTAGATAGCGAGAAATAGACAGAAATATATAGTAAATAGATAGAAAGGAAGAAATAGAAAGATAGAATAGAGAAGGAGATAAATAGATAACAATAAATATAGATAAGACTATAATTAGATAGATATATACAAAAGACCAGAATTTTTTTTTGGGGGGGGGTAGATAATTATGGTTTACGGATACAAGTTTTACTATTTAACCCATAGCAGACAGAGAACTGTATTTTGCGCGTAAGTGAATATAACGAACCCAACCGGAATTGAAACTCAACTCTCCGATTAACAATTCTGAGTTATTATCCATTACCCCCAACGTATTCACAAACGGCCAGACGTCCAGATATTGACCAGGCTCGATGTTGCTTAACTTCGGTGATCACACGTGATGTGGTCGGAAGCGATAGATAGATAGATAGATAGATAGATAATATATAGATAATATAATTTAGATAGATAGATAATATAATTTAGATAGATAGATAGATAATATAATTTAGATAGATAATATAATTTAGATAGATAGATAATATAATTTGGATAGATTGATAGATAAATAATATAATTTAGATAGATAATATAATTTAGATAGAGAGATAATAATATAATTTAGATAGATAAATAGATATTATAATTTGGATAAATAGATAATAATATGATTTAGATAGATATTATAATTTAGATAGATAGAAAGATAAATATTATAATTTAGATAGATATTATAATTTAGATAGATAGATAATATAATTTAGATAGATAAATAGAGAATGTAATTTAGACAGATCGATAAATAAATAAAATATAGATAGATAAGAATATTAGATAAAAATATAATTAGAGCGATAAAAATATACAGAGATATATAAATAAATAAAAATATAGATATATAAATAAAAAATTTATATACATAAAAAAATGATTGGATAAATAGATGAATAAAAATGCAGATAAATGAAATATAGATAGATAAAATATAATGAGATAAATAGGTAAAATTATAATTAGATAAAAATATAATTCCATAGATAGATAAAAATAGAATTAGATAGATGGATAAATAGATAGCTAAAATGGTATTAGATAGATAAGAATAGATAGGTAGATAGCTATATAGATAGATAAGAATATAATTAGATAAAAGTAAAATTAGATAAAATGGAATTAGATAGATAGATAGATAAGATTATAATTAAATAGACTGCTAAGAATGTAATTAGGTAGATAGGAATAGAGATAGTTAAAAACAGAATTAGATTAAGAATAGAATTAGATTGATTTAAATATAGTAACATCAATATGACAATTAACATCCTTGTCAGTCTTACTTGATAAAATAATGAAGAACTAAAACTGAAGTAAACAGTTATCTTCCGAACATATCCCCATAGACTTCTTACTCTGTAACTCTCTACATGGAATGGCTCTTGGGCCTTGTATAGGGTGAACACCATTGTTAAAAAATATAGGGTGTTTCAAAAAATTTGATATCCTTTGAGATGTAAATATCACAGAAAGTACATGATTAAGGCAAATGAAATTAAAAAGTATTAATGTTGAAGATCATAAGATTTATTCTTCCAAATCTGAATGAGAAATTCAAAAGCATGCGGATTATGTGAACACACAAAACGCCTTTTCTCTTCTAGTAAATAGCATTTTTATACCTGTAAAGAAAAAGATTAAAGATTAAAGAACATAAAAATACAAATAAGAAAAACACAAAAACATAAAGACATAAAAACATAAAACAAACATTAAACATAAAGATGCTATTAAAATTTGAAGTCATTTGAAGGCGATCTAACAAAGTTATTAGATTGCGAAATGATATGAAATTTTTTGAAACACCCTGTATATACATGTGTAAGCATTCACACACGCACACGAGCGTTATTTTCAAACTTCAGACTATTAACATCTTACACTGTACACTGGCTATCTCCCGATTTCTATCTTCTTTCTCTGAAAATGACACCTGATAGTTAAAAGGAGTCGGATTAGAGAAAATTCTTTAGTATCCTAACACTCGGCATCAAACGACTTATTCGACATGACGTGAAGCTTGCCACATGGCTTAATTGACATTCTTTCTCCGTTCTGTTTAATAAATCATGTTTAAGTGAACGATTGCTGCCTAAATAAACTATATTCTGGTTTAATATCAATAGACAATAAGCAGAAGGTTAGAAAATCGTCTGGGATGGGAAAGCGTCAAACTTTGCAATAATTTATTTTTTATCGCTTATAAAAAAAAAAAATCAATGTTTGTTTGAAAAATTGATAAAACTATGAGCAGCTAACGTAGATTGAGAGGGATAAGGAAGAAGATGTGAAGATACAGTTAAAGAAGAGTAGAAACGTAAAAATATAAATAAACTTGGTTGTCCGTTCTTATTGGATTTCTATGGATCTAGCTCGTTACATCACGTGTCTCGTAAACCATTAGGGTCATAGGAACGCCAAATATACTGCAACAAAGGTGTGTTTAGGGTGAGATAATCTGACGGTTGCCACTCTTCTTCAGGTTGGCTTCGAATTAATTTCTCTTCCTCCTAGATTGGCTGCAAGCTAGCTCAGTCTTCCATATTTAATCCATAGCTAAAAGGGGATGGCTGCATGACTTTTTCCAACGCTGTGAACAAAACAGAATCGACCAGGGTTTGAACTCGTCTTGGCAATTTCGCTTTAATTGTCTGCATATCAGTATGAACGTATCGAGTTATTTTTCTTTCCCCCCACCCATCAATTTTTTCTTCTCATTATCATAGGTGTTTTAACATATTTTGGCGAATATAATTAAATCCTTGTGGTTTTGATCACAAAACTTGTGCCGATGTGTTCTTCGGCCTACCTCAAGTGTATGGTGTGCCCAGTGGTCAGTAACAGTTGCTTTGAATAAATTTTCCTTTCTTTTTTCTCCATTTCATCAGTTTGAAAAATAGGGTTGTTTACAGGAGATTGTGGAAAAGCTTCATTTATTTTAGCCAGGAATCTGACCTTGGGGAATATTAACGATTTTACAGTGTCATAACAGGGTCTCTGATTTCATATATAGATATCACAGTTGAGATCAATAAATTTACTGAGTTGGCCAACAAGATTATTCTGTGTTTGTGGTTAGATGGCATTAGAAACGTTTACTTTTAACTGAATCAAAAAAACCTCTTTCGAGTATCTTTTGACTGCTGTCATATGATGGAAAATGTCTAAGGTGGTCTCAGAAAATATCTGACCCCTTCTGCCGTGGTTTATCTTTACAAGCCAGATTAAGCCTCCTTCTACCCCCCCCTACAAAAAAAAGACGTGTATTGCTTCGATATCTGGCTGGACCTGTTCAATCATCACTTTCCAGCCTTGATGGAGTTCTAAACAATTTTCGCGGTCTCGTGGGTATTCTATACTACAACCTCTTTCCGCACAGACACAGTGTTGTTATTTCGTTATTTCCATGTGAATTATTCAGTTGAAGTTCTTTCTTTAGTTCAACCAATTCAGACCTTTACTGCTAGCCCACGCCATAGTAGTCGAATGATCCTTATTCTTTCCCTATGCCAAATGTAAGAAGGAAGTACCACTGAGCTTTTTACCCGCTTGGCAGCTTCTCTTAACACTTCAATATTGACCTCTTCAAGTCAGTTTTTCAACGTTATCTATCCTCTCAATTTTTATTTCCTAGCACCTTCCTTTCCATTCATATCACACGCCTTTCGACTGTTAGCCTCTAGCATGAGTTATTCTCGAGCCTTGTAATAGGTGATATTTAGAGCCTCGTGTTGGAAAACAGATGATTAAATCGAACATATACTGACCCTGGCAAGACCAAATGAAGGAAACAATCATTGAATTGCATCCAGAATTGGTTTATAGAATGTGCGCAATATTCCATGAGGACAACGCTAAGTCACATAGTTCTTTGGTAATCATACAATAATTGTTACATTTTGTCGCTAACAAGTTGTTACTCATCTGGCGTATTATTCATAAGATTTCTGGTTTTTACAGAATTGTTTTAATGCCAAAAATATAAAACTTCGGGAAATTCCTTCTTTCAGAAAGATCGCAAACGGTAAATAAAAAAAATGTTCGATTAAGTGTTGAGGGGTTCTCCCCTTTTTACACAAATGGACTCACCCAGGGTATACATATATTACTGCTAGTGAATACCCGGGAGAAAAACGAGAAAGATCGAACGAGAAGAACGACGAACGAGAACGAACAAGAGTCACAGTGAGGAAGCACGTAGACTCAGTAAGAAGTCAGACAGTGATACGTCGATACCAAAGACTGTATATATATATATTTTGCTACTAACCCGCATTGCTGGAACTACTAACATGCATTACCAGTTTGTATTATTACATTAATACATTTATTTTCCTATATTCCTTCTTGGCGTGTGTTATTTATTGGTACCGGATTTCATCCCGGAATCCACAACATTAAGCCTCCCTCGATTTAAAGAATATAGGATTTAATGAACGACTCATGGATCGTAAGGGCCATAACAAAAACTGGCATCTCCTTTTACTAAACGAAGTCAGATAAATGTCTGAACAAATCATTCAAGTCAGTGTTAAGTGATTAAGTACAGGTTAACTTGGTTAGCTATAAACTTTGAAATTGAAAATCTTGCCGATTTCAGCTATTAAAAATTCAAGAGAATTTTCACTAAAAATAGCAAAACCTAATTGTCAACACTGTGTGTTTGAGATAGAAAGAAAGAGTGAGAGACACTAATCTCAACATTTTGGGACGTTCAATGTGTAGCCAAGGCTAAGTAGTCTTAAAAGCGAGTGCTGAAAACCCTGTTAGCATAGTTACATATTAGATTGAGTTATACACATTT